TAAAAGGGCAAAAGTATCAAAAACAACACAGAGAGAAGAGAAAAAAAACGGACAAATGAGCATTCACATGTTCACACCAAAACCTACATGCACAATACAAAAAATGTATATAATTGAAAAGCAAATATTTAAACCTGCTCCTGAGCTTGTGGCCTTGTGTTACTGGACAAGGAGTGATGAGCAGCAACTGTCAACACAGCGAAAAATTACAAGAAACAACGAGAGCAGCTTGTTGAAGCACAATGTGTCAGAGAAATGTAAAAGTGTCCTTACATGTTAGAATCAAATTAAAATAATAAGAAATAAATGCAATCTATTCAGGATTTTTATTTTTATTTTATTATTTATTGTATTGTATTTTATTGGGCAGCACGGTGGTGCGGTGGTTAGCAGCAAGAAGGTCACCGGTTCACGTCCCAGTGAGGACACCCGGGATCTTTCTGCGAGGAGTTTGCATGTTCTCCGTGTGCAGTGTGGGTTCTCTCCGGGTTCTCCGGCTTCACACAGTCCAAAAACATGTTGAGGTTAACTGGTGATTCTAAATTGTCCGTAGGTGTGAATGTGAGTGTGCTTGGTTGTCTGTCTCTAAGTGTAGCCCTGTGATGGACTGGTGACCTGTCCAGGGTGTCCCCTGCCTTCACCCTAAGTCAGCTGGGATAGACTCCAGCCCCCCACGACCCTGGTGAGGATTAAGTGGTGTATTGACAATGGATGGATGGATGGATGGATGGACAAAAACTGAAATTGTATCTCTGATGTAAAACTGCATCAAAAACGTGACTGTAAATGCAAATTCCATTTCAAGGAAAACTGGAACTTTTTTAACTTCATGACAGGTAAAATACATGCACCACAACTTCACAAATGTTTCCTTTATATTTTATAGGTGAAGCTGTTTAAGTCTAATAGTGCAAATTTGATACAATTAGTGACAATTGGCAGAGAAACAGAAAGGATTGGTTCTGTTGTTTTATGTGTATTTAAGGTAAATGAGAGATATCTTGTTATTATGAAAACGTCTGTAATTACACAACGTTTATTGAACGTGTTTTCATCAGTGTGCAATTTTTCTGAACCTAGGATTTCTCTGAAAATATCACATTTATCACTACATATATCATTTACCATTATATTTATCTATCTAGGTAAACTTTTTTAAAATACAGATGGTCTCATTGAAAAGAAAGGACATTTAAAAATTTGTTTGTTTTTTTTTAAATTAATATGAAAAATTACATAATGAATTAGATTTTGCTGTTTTTCTGTTAGGTAAGGTACATCATGTAAAAAACAGATAAGGCTGAGCTGACTTGTCAATCCTTGTTAATGCAGAGTCAGGAAATGTTGGAGGGTCACATGAGCGGCATGAACCACTAAGTCACAGCATTTCACAGCCTTATCTGCTGAAAATAGAAGCAAAGGTACTTTATCAGTGACCACTTCTACAGGTTTTAACCAGCAGTTACACACGCACACACACACGTACCTCATCGTACTGCTGTAATCTGAAAGGACCATGATCGAGGTGAGTCACTGGGTGGAATTTGACCAATTCAAGTGAAAATTATCTGCAACAAATCTGCTAATGAGTGATTTCCTTGTTGTAGTGGCACAAAGCCCTCAACGTGAATAAATCATCTGCACTTCAATGGTGGAATTGTTTGTTATGTAATCGTCTTTGGACTAAACACCAATAAATCTCAGATTGTGTAGGACAGGAGACATACAGTCGTCCTCAGATTTATTCATACCCTTCCATTAAAGGAAAGGCAAAATTCACAAAAGTCACTCAAATAACTAGAAACTGAAAAAAGTAATAATAAATTTAAAAAATTTGCTAAACTTCACTTTAGTGAAATAAGACATTGCTGGAGTATGATGTTCTGCATCTTAAAGGAAACATCTATTTAAAACTTTAAAGTAGATAAAAACTAGGATTATCGCCTCATGGTCTTATGCCTCTATCAACCAGTGAAGTTTCCATTTTTATTCATGTCTGATCAAACTCATTTAATACTGTCTGTGCAGTGGAGACACTGAAGTGAGGAAGTTCATTGAGAGTCAAATTCCTCGTATGTGTTCTCATGGTTCTGAAAACAAATTTGTTTTCATGACAGTGGATAAAGTTTCAAATATGGATGTTGCTGCAAAAAGCGATGTGAGATTTCCTCACTAATGTTGGGAATCTAAGATTATAGTCACCACTTCAGTTTACAACTTAGTGTGACATATGGTCACAATCTCCCCATCTGTTTAACAACGGTCAGAAAAGTGTTTTGCAGAAAATTATTATGGTTATGTCACAGTCGAGTTGACCTTTGACCTTTTAGATACGCAATGTCATCACTTGACCTCACATCACAAATTTTATCATAATTAGCAAACTGACCCTTCGCTAAGTGCCTCGCCCCTGCTTCCAGTCAACACGCCAGTGTGTGCCATTTTCAAAAATTTTAGGTTAATACTGAAGGAAATAACAGTTGTGAAGTATCAGAAAGAAGAGCTACGTTCACTATGTTATTTGTCGACAGTGTGCTGTGGATAAAACTCACCAATCACAGCGCAGACATCAGGCGGCTCATGTCTTGATGATTCATGTGCAGGACAAACAGGAGTTTTCGTTGGTCTTTGATGGATTCAGCTTTGTGACATACATATCTTTCACATTCAACACCTCCCTGCCCACATTTTTGACTTCAGAGAGCATAAAAAAACACAACAACCCCCTGCGTAGCTTCTCACACCAAGTTACCAGTTATGGTAATGTAGTGACTGTTTTAGGGAGAGGTTTGGTTTGGCAAAGTGTCAGCTGTTACAGTGACTCTTGACCACCACATTCTAGTCAATTTATAAGTAAACTTTCTACCAAATCTGTAGAAATTCCCTTGAGGGTTTTCTGATATATCAAATCCATGATACTGTGACAAACATTTGTACAGACAACTTTAAAGGTAATGTCAGCTACCTCGGCTGTCACCGATGCCGAGCCATTACAACAGCAACCCTTAAAACACTTGGAGTGTTCTCAGTAATTATCGGACAGCAATTATGCTAAATGTTCAATTACGTCTTTTATTAGGCAATAAGCAAAAACAGTTATTTGTCAAACTTTTTCTGTTTTATTTAATTGTAAATTTAGTTTATCCATTTTTTCTGTCTACCCTGGTGTCTCCTCCCAGAAAGTCCTCAACTGAAGGCATCACAATCAGATGCCTGAACCACCTCAGCCGGCTCCTCAGCGACTCTGCTCTGAGCCCCCATCAGACATTAGAGTTCTTCACTCTATCTCTAAAGATGAGCCCAGGCCCCTACAGAAAAATATATTTTTGGTAACTTGTATCTGTAATTTCAGAGACACCAGAGCAGATGACCATAGGTGAAGGTTAGAATGTCCATTAACGATGTGAATCAAAAGTTTTGCCTTCAGATCCAGAACAGCACCTCCATCACTGCTGATCAAGACCACAAGATACTTGAACTTTGGTTGGGGCAGCAACTCACTCCCAAACCAGATGGCACAGTCAACCAATTCCTACGATGGCCTCAGACTTGGAGGTGCTGTTTCTCATCTTCACACTCACCTGCAAACCGTCTCAATGCGAAGCCAACTGGATTACGTCATCTACAAAAAGCAGAGACTTGACTCTGAGGCCTCCAAACCAAACACTCTCCTCATTTATTTATTTGTTTGTTTTTTAATGAATATTAAAATCAGGTTCGGAGACAAGTAGCAACCTTTTCAACTCCCCAGCTGAATGCCTTTTGGAAAATATAAATAAATAAAGTTCCAAAGGACTTTTTTTTCTTTACAACTGTTCAAAAATGTATGAATTCAATGAAAGAGAAACTAAACAACAAAATATTTGAGTTAACATGGATGATTCACTGTTAACACCATTAACTTCTTACCTGTATTTCTAA